TTTGGATTTCTTTTGCTGCTTCATGTTGGTGCTTTTTGCTTGTTTTGGGGCTTGGTTGTCGAGGTTATTGGATTTTGGGGGGTTTAGCATACAAAGGTGTTAAGCTTTAGTAGGTTGTCCTTTGGGTGTTTTCATTTCATTGGGGTGATTGCTTATCACCTTTCGTTGTATCCTGTTTTTTCCTGTTTTAATACATTTTTTATTTATCTTCCAAAAAAACCATAAATTAAATCGGTAAAAGGATGAGTTACACCTGACTGGTTCAAAGGAAAAGTTGCATACATATAGGAACCAAGAGCCCTACTTTTTAAATCAACAAATATTCCTATCAACCAACACAACTGTCTATGCAAACTAATTTGATAAGAAAAATAGCTTATACCAAATAAATGGCAATAAATCAAGCAACAATAGGAGCATTAGGAAAACAAAGTGTGCACCATGCTCATCTAACAGTGTTCTGTTACGTCAAGTTTCAGGCGGATAGAGATGGCAGTATTGGTGAAGATAAGGTGTCTGAGAAAACAAAACACCTAATCCATCAAGCCATATGTTAACCAAAATAAATCAGAATCCTAGAAAGTAGAAACATATAGTGAAAATAATTAAAGCAGAACTACCAATCCGTCTGCAGAACTACCTTCTACAGAACTACTATCAATCCATATGCCCCAAAGGGCTCTTGATTCTTCCAAATATCATTCTTACATTCCAAGAGAGAAAACTAAAATTAGTAAGCCAATTTTAGACTGCCACAAAACTCAGATTTTACATAGAATTATTGGACTTTAGTTATCATTTGAATTCACAGTGCATTTATACTCAGCAATCCAAGGTATTGAAAATACAAAAAAAAATAAAAATAAATAAATAAATAGAAAGAATAGATCATATGATTTTCAAATTTTCAGAACTCCAGGACCCCTCATCTTTTAGTCATCTAGCATCTTTTGTTCATGTAGATTAGGATTCTCCCTTATTAAAACAAATTAAATCCTTTTCAATGACTCATGAAGCTTTTAGGACAGAAGCCTCACCACTTAATTTTTTTTTTAATGAAACCAAAAAGTGCATTTAATAAAGCCTTATCTAATGAGAAACTCAAATTTAATGACTAGTTGGTTCTCATTCCAAAGCTAGAAACCTAAAAAATGAACAAAATATGTGTATTTCACAAAGCAACCTCATATAATAATTTAAATAATATAAATTTAGATTATGAGGAGAATGAGAGGTAAAACCATAGTTTCATGTGATCCATTTGATCATGCATACAGCTAAATAGATGATGGGCAAAAGACAGTAGAGAGGAGAGAAATTGACTGAAAACAACGGAACTCTTAATTTCTCTTCATCCACTCTGCATAATGATAAAGCTAAAAGCATCTGCACTTCCAATTTTACAAATCTTTAGCAGCCTAAAAACACAGGCTTTCTTAACTTTTCTCAGTTAACTCTTAATAAAATCTGTTAACCTTTCTCCAAAAAGGCAGCCTAAAAAATAAAAAATCTAAAAAATAAACAAATAAAACAGGCCGGAAAGTTCCTGTAACTTGTAACTAAAATCTAATAGAAAAGCAAAAGGAAAATTCATAAAATTAACGAAGCACTGTTAGACTTGTGAAAACAGACAAAAAAACATACAGTAAAAGAAAAGCATCTCACAAAGAAAAAAAAAAAGAGGAAAAAAGTTAGTGTGGAGAAAAAAGAAGAAAAAAATCAAGTAGAAATTATTTTCCTTTCTCTTTTTTCTTGGGGAGAGGGTTTGTCAAAACATAAAACCAGATTTAGCCAGATATCTAGGATAGCCTAGCTCCAATGCTAACACTGAACATGGGCAATGAAGCCTAAAATGAAACATCGAATAAATAATGTTACTTCTAATACAAAAATATTAACAATTAAAAAATTAAATCCAAATGATAATTTATCTTCTCTTATAAACAAATTAAAAAACAAAAAACTAAATATCCTAACATGTATTTCCAAAATTTTATTTATGCTTTGTAAATAGAAGCAAAATTATATAGAACAATATCTTTCCAAACTTTTCTAAAAAGAAAATAAATTTTGTTTTTTCCAAGTAAAATGAAATATAAATGCAAAGAACAGAAAGATGTCTTGGATAGAAAACTATGTTTCAAAAATTTTGTGGTCATTTATGAATATAAAAAGGGAAAATCTATGCTGTCAGAAAAACATATTCATCAGAGTTTTTGAACATGACCCAACAGCAAGATAAACCCATCTCTAGTGTATGCCTCATCCATGGGCCCAAATCATTGTGCCCCCAACTAATACACTTAAAATAAACGTGGATGCAATTTGTATAATAAAAATAAAATATTCTTTGCTAACTAAATTACAAGTTTGGGCTGGTTTCTGCTGCAATTTGTATAACAAAAATAGGTCTACAATATTCTTTTTTTTTTCATCTACTTCAGTACAGGAGCTACACAAGAAGAGGAGAATGTAAAATATACCTTCACAGCAACCAGAAATGCAAAATAAAACCCAAAACCAAACTGACCAATCAAGCCAATGCCTGCCCCAACATCTTTGTTCTCTTATACATACAAAAAAATGACAGGAAGCTAAAAAACAGACTTGAAGTAAAAAGACATATAAACAAAAATAATGGAGAATGAACTATAGCTTTTTAATTCTCTTTCCTAATCCAAAAATATTAAGAAATTAAAAAAGTGAAAGCAAAATTTAAGCTTTGCAATGATAAGAACAATTAATGGGGCCCAACCTGGTGAGTTGTGTTTGTCCACTGATTTTAATTTTATTAGATTTTTAACATTCTATCTTTTGGGGATTTACTTTAGAGAACAACCCTTTCCATCTCAGAATATGGAATTTGCTTTTTCTAGATGTTGGATTTTTTTTACATTGCATCGCATACTCCAGAAGGAGTCTCAATTGGTATGCATTTTTCTGTTTCCATTCCCTTTACAATTATGATGGTTGTCATGTGCCCCCTTCCCACTCTTGTCTTGCAAAAACATCAGCCAGACAGTTGTAAAGACTTTAAAGAAATCCAACAAAATAAACGCTTGAGAAACCTAAGAAATTCAGAGAAGGTGGTTAACAACATACACTAAGAAACAGTTATTTCTTAAGAACATACAGGTAAGAAAAGCATTCCCTTTTCTTAAGGCAAACTCAAACTCATTCTTTCAGTTAAAAACACCAACTTGCAACAAAAATATTGCCAATAAATTAACCAAAAAATAAGAGAGAATGGCTCACCAATATAAACTCAAACAGAAATACAGAATTTAAGCCCAAAAAAACAAATAATCAGCAATATGAATAGGAGGTCAAGTAAATGGAGTTCAATCATCATCAAGAGGCCAACTGTCATTATACTTTGATAGCTACTAATAATCACAAATTCACTTAGTTTACTTTGAAAGTCTAAACCATGAAGGCAAGAGAAAAAAATGCATAGGCCATGGCTCCACTTCACCTACCATGTGAAAACTATCCGAGAAGCAAAAACCCTTAACCTAGAATTCTAGCAAAACAAAGGAAGTGAAAGCAGAGAAAAAGCGTAACTCAGTCTGCTGCTGAGGGATGAGGCACCAATGTAGCTAGCTACCCATTGTTTCTAGGCTTTTGAAACTATGAGCTTCAATCTATTACTTTGGTTCTATTGCTAAACAAACAAATTATGAGATTAGTAACCCGTGAGATCATGGGGATGAATAGGAAGAATTAAAATGAAATTTTAATAAAATTACAAATACAAAACGATGAGATAAAAAAAACAAAACAAACTTGTCCATAGATTTTAATACAAAACTATGAGATAAAGAAACAAACTTGTCCATAAATCCAAGAAACACACTCAATTAAAGGATGCATACTCAAAGATAAGGTCCAAGTAATTCTCTTCTTGCAGGACCTCAAAGAAACTTCTTCCCTGTTTCACATCCAAAATGCTCGAGTCTCTGAATGGAACGTTACCTAAAAACTAGAACTTGGACGAACCCTGCAAGATGCTACCACAAAATGATAACAAAACTCAATAAACAGAAAACTAAAAACCAAGAGGGCAACGAATAAATGGAACATTATCTAAAATCCAAAGCCTTCTGCTGCAACTCATGCTCCAAGTCATTTTCAAAGGCTGAAGGCCAAATCCTCTATCTATCTCTACTCCCTCACTGAAATTTGAGGAATAAACGCAGGGAATGAGAGAAAATACAAGGGGTCTGGCCCTTTTATCTAGTCCAAGAGATTCCAGGACTCTAGTTGCCTTTATTTTTTTAATCTCTAATGAAAATGATAAATAAACCCTGACATTAACGACACTGATGAAAACTTCAGCACATCAAATGAAAAATAACAAGAAGATAAAAGGGAAAAAGAAGCCAAGAGGTGCCTCACCTGCATGGAGATATCCATCGCCAGCGACTGCTGAAATTGAAACTCAACACCACCATCAGAGAGTACCCAGGAAGCAGGGGAGAAGCTAAAAACCCTCTAGGGAGGGGAGAAGAGAAAGAGATTGTGAGTGGTGTGCACAGCAAGTTTGTCTTCAGGACAAGAGCCGATTGAAGAGGAAACATGTCAAAAAGTATGACACATGTGCCAAATCCATAGAGCACCACGTGTTGGACTCTCAAATAGTGACCGTACACACCCCAGCCACTTTAAGTATATAGCTGTAGATGTTAGGGATGAGCACATGGCTCAGTTCTACCAGGAAGCAGGAACTACCCAAATCGACCCATGCTCATTCCTTGTATATGCCCATGTAAGTTCTATGAAGCATCATTTTGAGGCATTTCATGGACTTTATATTTTTTATCTGCCCAACTTTTGGAGTTTCTTAGGAATTGTCCTTTTGCCAAGTTGACAACAAGGCTATGGTTCTGATGCTTACTGTAAAAGAAAAACGTATAATAATTTATCAGAAAAAAAAAAGAAAAACGTATAATACAATCAACACTGAGAGCCCCTTCAGCCACAAACCAGATCTTTACCATGGGAGCCAATTAGAAAATTGTTACTTGTATTATTAATAGACACGATTACAATTAATAATTCATAGAATATCGTGGCCACAATATAAATAAAGTTGCCCAAGATGCAGCATGAAAAGTTTACAAATTATTTTCCCCTTGCAAGAAATGTTGTTCGGGGGCCAGAGGTCGAGGGAGGGTGGTGGGGGATGGAATTTGGCCCCTAGCCGCTCCGTGGCTGGTGGCTCTTCCCCTGCTCATCAATAATAAAAGAACACATCAGATGTCGAGAGACAACATCAAGAACTTTATCTGCAACTGTCATATCCATCCACTCTGCAAACTAGACCAGTCAATTCTTAAAAGAGCAATGTTGCCAAGAGCACTAAAACAAGAACTCTCAGACTGATTTGCTTAAGATTGGAGCTTGACATTAGGTGGGTTCTGATGCCAACACTTGGGGGCAGACTGAGTTCATACTTTTTTAGAGAATTGAAAATGAAGGAATGTTCTAGGGTCAATCATGGCTTTCATATGGTTCAATGCTGATTAAAATTAAACTGCATGATTGTCTCCATTGAGATGTCTCATTTCCATGTGTCATCCATGGTAATGAGCTATTGCACAAATGAATATTTGTGCAAGTACTCGTTGCAACAAAACTCTTCTCAGAACTACTTTAATTACTATGGATTACGTCATTATAAGAATAGATGTATGTATGGATAGTCAAGCAGAGGATGGCCTAGATAATTTTAGTGGATAACTTAGCTATAATTGTTGAATAACACAGAAATTTGCGCTCTGTGAGGCAAATTACAACAATAAGGAAACAAGAAATAAGAAATTTAAGAGACAGACCATGTACCATGTGAATGAATACCCACTCTTTATAGATAGCTCCACTAAGCAGCAACTATATCAGGAGAACTCCTTGACTCCAACCATGACTTTGCTGCAACCTTGGTGGTTAAAAACCAGCCAGCCTTATCTGGGGCCTCATGGAATGGGGCATTCAATTCCTTTAAATGTGAAGCAAAAACACCTGCCAGACCTTTGTCAGAGTACTTGTGCTTTCCATGGCCTGTGTTAATTCCAAGCAAGGGCGGAAGCTCCTCCCCATTTTCTTGTGCTTTGCGCAAGTCACTCATCCAAACATGTAATGCAGTCAGAGCTGCCCCAAGTGAGAGACTCTTCAAATGCAAGGACCACTGTGTTGGGGATTTTGACTGAATATCTGTGTATATCTCAAGACTCATTCCCAGATCCAATAGCACGCATGCTCTTTCTAATAGATTGAGGTTGACACAGATATCAATCAAGCAATTGCAGTAGGCCTTTCTGACATCCATGCTAATGTTACTGAAAAGCTCAGTAGCATCCTTTCTTAAGACTTCACCATTTTCCTCCCCCAGCATCTGCTTCACCACAAAACCAAGCTTAGAATTAGCCCTCTCAATGCACCCAATTAGTTTCCCAAGTTCTTCTTTAGGTGTTTGGGTCATAACGTTTAGAAGGCAACCACAGAACCTATCATCTGGGGTTATACCCATTTCTAGAAGACGATCAAATGTCCTAACAACGTCATCTGTCCGATTGGCTTTCCCATAGCACTGAATAAGGGAAGTTAAGACATAAATGTTAGGTTCAAAACCTGCTTCTAACATCTTATTTAACATCCCCTCTGCCTCTGAAACTTTTCCGCAACAAGAATATATGGTGATCAATGAAGAAAATGTCCAACTGTCAGGTTCACAAGTTTGAGACCTCTTCAAATCCTCAAAGATCTGAACTGCTTCATCTGTGTAACCTAAGTCAGCACACATAGCCAAGAGAGTGTTGTAGAGAACCACATTCAATTCTAACCCCTTCTCCTTCATCTCTCTGTACACATTGAGTGCATCTTCAGCATAGCGGGCTCTGCCGTAGGCCCGCAATAGAGCAGCATAGGTTGTCCAATTTGGTGAATATCCTTTGGTTGTCATCTCTTTATACAGTGATTTAGCCTGCCATGGCCTCTTCGCTCTCCCCATAGCATCCAACAATGTGTTATATATAACCAAGTTAGGCTTCACCCCGAGAGCCTTCATTTCTTCATACACATTCAAGGCCCCATCAAAGTTACCCGACATCCCATAAATCCTAATCAAAGTTGAGAACGTGACCAAATCGATGCGCCATTTCTCAGTCCTTGCTCGGTCATATAAGCTCAAAGCCATGTCTATATTACCAGCTCGGCCATAGGCGTCGATCATGGCAGCATAAGTGACATCATCAGGATTACAACCGAACTGTGGCATCTTCTCAAACCACTCCACAGCTTTATTAGGTAAAGAACAAATTCTAGCACAACTAATTATGGTAGAAAACGTCACGTTATCAGGTTTAATTCCCTTCTTGAGCATTTCTTCCAACAATACCTCTGCTCTATTAAAATTCCTAGACTTTCTAAACACCTTAAGAGTCACATTATAAAGAATTACCTCTCTCTTAGGCTTCAATTTCAGCTGAAAATACTTGAGAGCAAGTAGCGCGTTATCTGGGTTCTCCATGTTATTAAGAACAATCACAGCATCTTGCTCTAATGGGTTCTCACCAAGACCACTTAAAACTTGAAAGACATCTTCTTCAGTTGGATTGCATAAATCGAGAGACTGGGAAACTTTTGTAAGATATTTGTACCTGGCATCGTAGGATTTCTGCCGAAGTTGTGAAGCTCTGGGACTTGTGGGGTTTACCCAGATGTAGCTTTTGGACGAAGAATTGGTTTTTCCGTCCGAGGCGGGAGATTCTTGCATCGTGGAAGGATTGGCTTGAGATTCTTGAGCAACTGAGTCATGCAGAGAAACTTGTAGGGGTCTGATATGGGAGGAGAGAGAATTTCTTGTTTGAGATGGTGATAGAAAGGTGAGATTGAGAGAGTGGCAGAAGTTTCTAGCTCTCCATGAAAATAGAGATGGAGTGAGTTGAAGAATATGCGAGGGAGAAATAGAGTTACAGAGAGGTTGGCAATCATGGCAGAGATTAGAAGGTGAAGAGAGATGGAAAGCCATTTCTCTCCTATCCTGCGACTGCAACTGCGAGGCCGTTAGTTTTTAGTCCTCACTCCTAAGAGGGAATCGCCTTATCGAATGATCCGACACATACCGAGAGGATGCTGATAAAGAGGAGAATGGGAACGAAGTAATTGACAAGAGTGCCCATTCATTACTTACAGTTTTTTCGAAGATTGATAAACAAGTTTATGCTACTCCAGGATTTCTCCGCACTACAGACAAGCGGCACCGAGGAATAAAATGTCCGATTTTCAAGAGTTCCATTACCATTAGCATACTAAAATGTATTTCTTTAGACTAATTCCATTTCTCCAAGGCTTCTAAAAAAATTCCATTTCTCCAAAATGCAATTACAGGTACATTTCATTCTGGAATGAAATGGTTAAATTAGGAGTTTTGGATGTTCCTATTGATTTTACATATGAAAAATGCCAAGAATGTGTACAAGAAAAAATCACTAAGAAACCTTATAATAGTGTACAAAGAGAAACCAAATTATTGCAACTTATACATAGTGATTTAGGAGATCTTAGGTATCATGAAGCTAGAGAAAGAAAAAGATATTATATAACTTTCATAGATGACTTTTCTATATATGCAAATGTAGTCTTACTTAGATCAAAAGATAATGTTGAACAAGCTTTTATAACTTACAAGACTAAAGTAGAAAATCAGATAGGAAAGAAAATAAAAAGACTTAGTATAGATAGAGGGACTGAATATGATGGAAAAACCATCGAGAAATTCTTTGAAGAAAACGAAATCATACAACAACCCCTTATCAACTTGAATGTAATAGAGTTGCAGAAAGACTTAACATAACATTAAAGGAAATGAAGAATGTTATGCTTATTAATTCAGGTGCACCTCTAAACTTGTGGGGGAAAACAATCCTAACGACTTGTCACTTATATAATAGAATACCACCTAAGAAGAAATGACAAATACCTTTTGAACTGTGGCATAACAGGAAGCCTAGTTTAAACTACCTAAAAGTTTGGGGTTGCTTAGCAAAAGTTGGAATACCTAAACCTAAAAGAAAGAAATTGGGACCGAAAACTTGTGACCATGTGTTCATTGGATATGCACAAAACAATGCGGCTTATCAGTTCCTTGTAATTAAAACAATTGATAATGTTGTAGAAAACAACACAATAATTGAGTCCCGAGATGCAGAATTCTTTGAGCACATTTTTCCAAGGAGAAAAACAATAAATAGGGAACCTTTCGAAATCCATAATAGAAATCAAGAACAATTGAATGCTCAAGGAATCAGTATTTCACTTAGTCAAGAAAACACTAATTCTAGGAATCAAGAGCCAGACTTAAGGAGAAGTAAAAGACAAAAGAAAGAAATAAACTTGGGTGATGAAATGTTCACATTTCTGGTGGACAAGGACCCAATAACTTATCAGGAAATCATTACCTTACATGATGCAATATTTCGGAAAGAATCTATAAAAAGTGAAATAGACTCTTTACTCACTAATCACACTTGGGAACTTATAGATCTCCCTCTTGGAACTAAGGCATTAGATTGTAAATGGATCTTTAAGAAAAAAATTGAAAACAGATGAACAAAAGATAAATTCAAGGCCAGATTAATTGCTAAAGGGTTCAAACAAAAGAAAGATGTAGATTTCTTTTACACTTATTCCCTGATTGTAAGTGATGGAGGTTGATTTGGCCCGACCTCGCAGCACGGGTACACGTGGGCGTGACCTTGCTCAAACAGTGACTCAGCATGACAGCGCAAAGAGCGTGAGCACAACTCGGAGGGAAAGTCCCACCGAGTCCAGCTCGGCAACTCGATAGGTAAACTACTCGTCGGAAGCCTCCTTACCCGCACCTCCTCCCCAGGGTTAAGGCACTTCGGGGCATCCCGAGGTCGGGGCGCCCTGACCTCTCTTAAGGCCCGAGCTCCTCCCAATAGACCTCGGGCCACTCCCAGGAAAGAATGCACCGATCCATCTTTGGACACCCCGAGGCATAGACACCTCGGGTCAACTACCTCGGCATAACTGGCTACAGGCAACCCGTCACTCAAAGGATAGCCCGGCTCAGGGTAATTCGCGGGAGGCCAGTTCGGTATACCACAGGAGGGCTTCCTGCTTGACCGCCATACCCGACAAATCTGTGGACAGCAGACATGTCCCTCGTCAGATAGCGTCGCGTCTGCCACCTTTAGAAAGGTGTCCTGCACCTGACAGGCACATACCCTGCAACGACGGCCCCGCGCGTGCCACCTCAGCCTTGCCTGTAACGGATGTGGTAGACTGACAGTGGCGGTTATACCTGCCCTGTCAGAAGTCAGAGGGCCTGAAGCAATGGAATTCAGTTATAAGGGGCTTATTCTCAAGGAACAAGGTATCTTCGAATCATCTGCACAACCTGCACTCTTAGCCTTCGTTTTCCTTTTGCTTCTTGCACACAATACTGACTTAAGCATTAGAGCATTCCCGCCGGGAAACCTCCCAGGAGTTCTTCCTCTTTCCTCTCGTCTCAAGTACCTCTCAGGAGCCACGCGAGCGCCAGCTAGGAGTGACCGGATCGCGCTACATCAATTGGCGCCGTCTGTGGGAATATGCTTTAAAAGGCCTTTCTCTCTAAACTTTCCCAGTTCTTTTCTTCCTTGAAACAATCCAACGCTCATGGCTTCCTCTAGCAGCGTCGGACGAAGCACGAAAATGGATAACTCCAGGGAACAACCCCAGCTTCCTACTATCTGTATCGGATAGTTCACCATCCCCCTCTCAGCGGACGGAATCCCCAGCTTGAATGTGCCTCTCACAGTGGCACCTGTCATCGCCCCACTCCCTGCTACAGTCGGAGCAACTTTCATCGAACCTTTGGTCGTGCCCCCAGTGGCCAGCCCAAACCAACTATAAGACTTGATGCGGTGCATGCGGGCCATGCAGGCCCAAATGCAACAGTTCCAGCAACTTCAGCTCTATCAACAACACGTACTGCATCAGGTCTCCCAGTATCAGTATCAGCAACAGTTCCCCCAGTTGCCTCAACCTCAACTTCAGTAGCCGCAGTTCCCGCCTCGGCACCCAGCCTCGCAGCAAGACAAGTCTCGCCGCCAGGACGAGCGCCCCTCTGGCCAAGGAGAGGCCCCCCAAAACCTCCCAAAAAACCAAGCCTCCCCTTGCGGCAGACGAGAGAGACCGGCTACCCCAATCTCACCGCGGGCGGACAGGTCGGGAGGACCCCAGCTCGCCAGGTCTACATCACCTCGGCAATAAAAGTTTGAAACCCCGCTCCTTGAGAACCGGTTCGAGGTCCTGGCAACAGACTCCAAGCAGGATCCCTCTGTCCGCAGCCATCACCAGTAGACCGGGCTACTTCCTGCACAAACCATTCCGGACAGCGTAGAGGTGAGCAGCATGAACACTGAGCACACCAAGAAGCAGAGACGCCGCCGCCGAGCTCGCCGATCTGTCACCCGTGATTTGCCCGAGCTCATGGGCAAAGAAGAGGCAAGCTCGCCCGAAGTCAAAGTTCCCCTCCTCTCGGTTCCATCCCCCTATCTTTCGAACTCCTGGCAGTCCCAATGCCCAAAGACTTCAAGCTCCCCCGTCTTCATAATTATGACGGGTCATTTGACCCAAATGATCACGTAGATGCCTTTCAGTCACAGATGCACCTGGCGAGAGCCAGTGAGTCATGCATGTGCGTGGCTTTCTCCATTACTTTTAGGGGAGCAGCCCGCACGTGGTACCGGAACTTGGCACCTGGGTCGATAAGAAATTGGACACAGTTCGCACAAGCCTTCACGTCCCACTTCGTCACCAGCAAACGGTGCCCGTGAACTGAAGAAAGCCTCCTCAGCATAGTGCAAAGAGAGGGAGAGTCCATCTGGGGCTATATCAAGCGGTTCAATGATGCTTGTATGCAGATACCGCGCCTGGACCCCACCGTACACCTTGCAGCAGCCAAGAAAGACGTGACACACAAAGAGTTCAAATGGCACATGGTCGCCAACTAGCCAGCGACCATAACCGAGTTTCTAAAGCTCGCGGATAGGTTCATAGCCACCGAAGAGGAGATCAACCAAAAGGGCAAGGGCGCGCCCGAAAAAAGAAAGAGGGAAGGAGAGCTTTCTAGTCAAGGGGACAGCCGAAAGAAAAAGGATATAGTTCGGGGGGCAAAGCCGAGTCAATTGTTTCGAGCTCCTGTAGCAAACCGAGTTGACTACACCCCACTGAATGCGAAGCAAGCCGAAATCCTGATGGCGATCAAGGATGCCCCCATACGTGAAGTGGCCACCCCGTCTGAGGGGGAATCCCAATGAAAGAAATAAGAATCTGTATTGCAGTTTCCACAAAGATCACGGTCACAGTACCGAAAGTTGTAAAAACCTTCGCGACAAGATAGAGGAGCTCATCCATCGCGGATATTTGAGAAATTTGTACAAAACAATAATAACAGTAGTAATAAAACAGGTCGGCAAGGGGAGCACGATAAGGATGCTCCCGAGTCCAGCGGCAGGCCGGCCGAACAACTGCAGAGGCAGCCCCCGGAGGAGAGGCCAGTTTGGGGGACCATCCACATGATATGGGAGCTTCGATCGTCGCGGGTTGCACGTCTGCAGTAGCTCGGATGTCAGTTCGTGAGGCCACCCGGGAGGAGCTGAACCCCACAAAACGGTCGAGGACAGAAGAGCCAATCTTCTTCATAGAAGATGACGTGCGAGGGGTCCACTATCCCCATGATGACGTGCCTGTAATAAAGCTAAGAATCAACGACTTCGAGGTCAGACGTGTACTCGTCGACTCAGGCAGCTCAACCGACATCCTCTTCAAAGCCACGTTTGACCAGCTTCAGTTGCAGAGAGGCGACCTGAAGCCTGTAGACACTCCTTTGGTGGGCTTCAGCGGAGAAGAAGTCCGGCCCCTTAGGAAAGTAACATTACCTATGGAAGTCGGCACATGGCCCTGTGTGGCCAGTTTCAAACACGACTTCCTGGTGGTCGCGACCCCCTCCCCCTACAATGCCATAATAGGTCGACCGATCACCCATGTCCTGCGGGCGGTGGTCTCCACCTACCATCTGGCAATGAAGTTCCTTACAGACTTTGGTGTGGGGGTAGCGTGGGGCGACCAGCTCGAGTCCCGCAAGTGCTATGTCGCCGCCTT